CAGAAGCTAAATTTTTGAGAGAGCTGTCCTGATAAAGGAACCATCTGCCTAGACTACAATAGACTGTAATTGCTTAAGATTAAAAAATGACCATTGGACTGCCAAACATCTACGAATGTAGACCATAGAGAGGAAAGACTGCTTAGTCGTTAAGGAGGGCAGAGTCCCGACACCCCATTTCAGCTGTGGCCGAGGAGGATGACTGAAAGTGCAGAACCATGCAGGTGGTGGAGCATGGAGAACGCCAAACTCCCAGGAAGTGGAATTAGGGCCAAATCAGAAACTCCCTCCGTTCCCAGTGGTGTGTCAGAATTACTCGCGTAGTCACGAGTGAATGGTGTGATTTGAGCACTTTCTATGAAGACAGGGAACTTAGCCTGAGTGGAGTCTCTCTTCATCTCCTCCATCTCAACTTGTTTTAGTATAGTTTGAGATTTTAGATACAGGTTTCCATTATCATTTTTTAAATCATCATCATTATGTAACTTGTTTTCCCAGAAAATAACATTGACCTTTGTACTCAGAACTGAAATAATTATTAGACATTTCTAAGTTTACATGGTTTCAGAGAACAATTTCAGAATTATATCATAATTTCTTTTATTTTCAAGCTGTTAATTTTCTTCATTTCTTTTAATAATTTTTTCAAGAAAAGTGAAGGAAGTATGACTGGGCAACTGTGCTGTTTCAGGCATAGGTGCAACTTTTAAGGGTTCTGGGTTTTTAACCTCCACACCCAGTGATTCAGGGTGCAGCCTTAGGCCAGGCAGCTTAACATATTTGTTTTATTTCTTAAGGATGAAGCATATTAAAATTTTCTGACCTCTGAAAGATTTTCTACAAAGTACTATCTGATGTCAAAAATTATGATGTACATGCAATTATTATTTATTTGAAATAGACACCATCAAAGATTCAGGATAAGCATATGGCAAGAAACATATTGGAAAAGTGCTTCCATTTGCACTGAGCATATATGGGTTCAGTGAAACACAGTCATTCAGGTATAGGTATTTATTGTGAGCTTCCACTGGTGTAAGCTCTGTGGTAGGTGTTGTGTGTGTAGAAGCTCATAGAGTAGCAGGTTTTGTTGCAACTCATGGGCCGAAGGGGAGGGTCAGCCTCATGCAGACCTAATTATGACCAAGGAAGAATCCCTCTCTAAAGGGAATGCTCCTGCACTGTTGGTGGGACTGTAAATTAGTACAATCACTTTGGAAAACAGAAGGGAGGTTTCTCAAACAACTACAGATAGATCTTCCATATGATCCAGCAATCCCACTTCTGGGTATATACCCAGAGGAATGGAAATCATGTCGAAGGGATACCTGCACTCCCATGTTCATTGCAGCTCTGTTCACAATAGCCAAGAGATGGAACCAACCTAAATGTCCATCGATGGATGATTGGGTAAGGAAACTGTGGTATATACACACCATAGAATACTACTCTGCCATAAAAAAGGATGAAATTCTCCCGTTTGCAACAACATGGATGAGCCTGGAGAAAGTTATGCTGAGTGAAATAAGCAAAGCACAGAGGGATAAATACTGCTCATAAGTGGGAAAAAAGGAAGCAAAGAAAGACCGCAGTGGTGTGTTGGACTTGCAGAAGGAGAGAACATACCTTGGGATACAAAGTGGAATGGGGGGCAGGGGGAGGAGAAAGGAAGTTGGGGATAATTGGGTGGGGGACACAGGATACAATTGCAATTTGTGATAATGTGCATGCTGCCAGTATGAATCTGGCCTTCACATCTTGGGCATGAGGTGTGACAATCAGCTTTGTATCTCATGAATATCATAACCAATAAAAAAATTGAAAATATATTCAGTTTAGCAATATAGACTTCTAGTGTCCAATAGCAATATTTTTTCTAGAGTTTTATTTACAACACTGTATATCACAAATACATATTTGTAATAAATAAAAAGATAATATATCAAAAAGAATCCCTCTCTAGGTGTTTGCCTAACCTAAAGAGGGTGCTGAAGTGACTGTCCCAGGGTCCCAGAGGTTCTGGTATCTACCATCTCTATATCTGCCCATGCAGTTGCTCCAGAGCAAGAAAGCAAGATCTGTCACTTTTCTAAAACCTCTGTGCTTAGCATTCCTGGCTGAATTCATTCCCATGGATGTATAAAATAAGTTTAGAAGTAGTCTCGGTGGACACATGGCTACAGCTGTTGTAGAGCATTGTTTCTCAGTGTGTGGCCCCCAGATAGCAGCAGCATCACCTTGGAACTTGTTAGAAATGCAAGTTCTTGGGCTCTACTCCAGAGCTACTGAATCATAATCTCTGGCGGTTGCCGGTAGCAATCTGTGTCTTAACAAGCTCTCTAGGAGATTCTGATGCATGTTGAAATTTAAGAAACAGTGTTGGAGAGAATAATTTGTTAGTGAGGGGCTAGACCAAAACTATGAAAAAAAATCCAAACAAAACAAAAACACTTCCTTTCTGCTTGGAACTACCCTTCTGTGACGTGTCTGTAACTGGATGTGGAATAAGAGGGGGCCAGGTAAAGAGAAGTCTCCTTTGTAGGATCGGGACTGCCGACAGAGGTCTCATACCGGGCTATCGAAGTGTGCATCAGATTCAAATCCGAATTCCAGTATTTCCTTTATGGATTAATAAAGAAAACTTGAGATAAAAGTGGAAGTTATCACTTCATTTTCAGCCTATAAAAAGAAACTTTATATGCAAGGTAAGGGGTTTGAGCTTGGTTCCACAGACAACAAAGACTAAATTAGGTTTTAAGCAGGAGAATGATGTGACCAGAGTTGATTTTTAGAAAGGCAACCCTGCTGGCAGTTCGGGAGATGGTGTGGTGTAAGGGGCAGAGGCTGGATGCAGGGAGACCAGCACTGGGGCTGGGGGGAAAGGATTCAGGCGGTGGGAGGCTGTGTTTCTGACTCAGGTGAACCAAAGGATTGGGGATAGGTGTGGAGGGCACAGGGTTCTCCAATTCTCCAAGTCAACTTTCCTCATCTCTGCAAACCCTTCCTAATTTTTCTTCGCTGAGTTATTTGCTTTATTCTCTTTATCCGTTGTTCATGTTTTTGTTATAGATGGATGCATCAATGTTCATTGTTATGTATCTGTTTATACGCCTTTTCCCCCTCATTGTGAGCTTTTCAAGGATGAGAATAATATCTACTTGTTCATTTATTCAACAAACATTTTTTGAGCACTCATTTTGAGCCAGGAACTGTTCTAGACAAAGCAGTGATAGTCTCTGCCACTTTGAAGGGGGAGATAGAAAAACAAATAAATAACAGAATAGCAGTTGCTATGTATTATGACAGGGAGAAGAGTAAAGCAGCGTCAGGAGAACAGGAAGTCACTGTGCTGAGGCAGGCTGTCTTGTACAGAGTGGTAAGAGACACATCATGGGCATGTGACATTTGAGCAAACACCTGAAGGGTGTGAGGGAGTGGACATGGAAGCTGGTAAGGGGGGAGCTTGCTCCTGGAAAAGGGAATAGCAGGTACGATGGCCCTGAAGTGGGAGTCAGCTTGGCTTGTTCAAGGAATGAACACAAAAGAGAGTAGACGAGGTCAGAGGAGGAGGAGGGATGCAGAGCGTGAAGGAATTTGTAGGCCGTTTTAGGATTTGGCTTTTGCTCTGCGCGATGTGGAAGCCACTGGCAGTTTGGGGCATCATTAAAAATACTATTTGGCTTCTATCATAAGAATAAGCCACAGAGAGATTAAGGGTGAAGTAAGGAGTCCAATGAGGACAAAAGATTGTGGCAGGGATCGAGGTGGCAGGAGTGGAGGTGAGGAGAAGTGATGGGACTGGATTTATTTTGAAAGTGACAAGATTTGTTGATAGACTGGGGGTGGGGTATAAAAGAGAGGAATCAGGACACTCAAAACTTCATGGTTTGATACTGAAAAGATGGGGTTTCCATTTATAGAGATGGGGAAGCCCATCTCTGAAGTAAACTGCTAGAGTCTGGTTTAGTTCAATTTCAATCTGCTGAATTGGCACATGCTGATGTGAGTCTAAGCTTTAGGGAGAGGTCGGGTCAAAGGCTGGAGATTTGTGATGGGACCTCACCAGTGCATAGGTGGCATTAAATCCACGAGACCATCCAATGCACTCTTTATTCCCAGCATTTAGCACAATGTCTGACACAACAGATGCTCCATAGATATTTTTTGAGTAAATGAAAGAATGAGTAATATAGTCAGATAAAAGAAAAATACCCAAACCGGCTATTATACAGAATATCAGGGCTATGTTCAGACATATCCTGGTGATAGGAGTAATTGCATCAGAGACTAAAATACTTCATTTCTCTGGTTAATTGTTAAAGTCCCTGTAAATGTCACAAATACCTTCCAACTGTTCTGCCCGTGTCTGCTCCTCATTCTCCTGCATGTTTTTATAGAATTTTGTATGTTAATTGTAGAAGTTAGTGCATGTATTTTTTGATAGTTTTAACAGACAAAATTACGTATAGTTCTTGACTTCTATTATTCCCTCTTATCCTCTCCATGCCACCCTTCATACCCCCCAAAACCTTAAATATACCTGAAATAGGCCTCAGTATCCATGAATCTATAGAATGTGGCCCTCGTGGAAAAGGTTTCTGATAAAGACGTTACTCACTGTTAACTTTTTCTAGATTATTTAAAGAGATATTTTTTCGTAGCCTGTGCTTTAGATGCAAAAAAGAGAATTTGCCAATTGCAAATGCTGACAAATTCTGTTTACTATAAAGGGAAGCCTAGGAGAACCTAGTGTATCTGAGAACACTTGTCAAAGTCTCTAAAAGTAAACTTTTATACAAACCACTTCCTTTGATATCTCTGCTGCAGAAATCTCCAATTTTGCCAAAATATTCATGCATGAGAAATTTTGAAATTATTAGATAATTCACTGTGCTTGTCTAGTCCAAATTGAGGAAAAACAGTTGCACATGCCTAGCCTTTTAATTACCATGTGCCACTGTTGGCCTATCACGTAATAAGGAATATAGGAGGATTACCCTCTAACGATGACTAAAAATGAGAACAAAGACAAGAAAGGCTGCACAGGCACTTTTAAGCCAAAATGGCACAGAGAATGGAGGCTGGTCACAAGTAAGGATGCGAGTCCTCAGGGGCTTCATGATCCGTGCTCTCTGGGTCAGGATGGCTCCCCGGGCCCCAGCCCACTTCCCCGGCCCCTGCAGGCGGTACTGGTAAGGTGTGCATGGTCCAAAGAAAATTTCCATTGCCAGCTTTGGATCCCACAGGAAGAATGAGAGTAGGTTGGGTTTCACTCCTATTTCAGAGGCAATTTCATCCATGTAATCCACATACTGCACTCTGCGTGAATCCCGAGGATTATTCAGGAATCTGCAACCAGAAAGGAAACAATCAGAAATTCAAAGCCACTTCCATCCCTCCAAACACAGTTTTCTCTAAACATTGCGTGGACTTTGTGTAAGGGGATCATCTAAAGGGAAAAGAATTAATAGCAACTAAACCATTGATGATTTCTCCAAAAAGCAAGAGATAAAATGAGTTTCCTTGTTTTCAATTACCCTGGTCTCAGTGGTTTCTAACAAAATATTCATATAGGTGTATTTTTTCCCCCTCAAATCCTTTGAAGCGTTTTTGGATAGTAATACATGGGTTTTAGAATATTTGTGTCTTTTTTTTTTTTCCTTTTTGTCTTTTTTTACCCTCGGTGTTGCGCCCGCACCGCGCTCAGCCAGTGAGCGGGAACCGGTCTCCACATGGGATCCGAACCCTTGGCGGGAGCGCCGCAGCACTCCCAAGTGGTGCCGCACTCCCAAGCGGCGCACTCTCCAGTGCGCCACCAGGCCGGCCCTAGAATATTTGTGTCTTATTAAAGGATATTTT